GAGGCGGAAGGATCGCCGGAGCCCAGCAGGTCGAGGCTGCGGTGGCCGGGAGCGGCCACTGCACTCCAGTCTGGGCGACAGAGTGAGACTCCAACTCAAAAAAAAAAAAAAAAAAATTCTTCAACTTGTCAATTTTGATGCCTTTTAATGCTGCTGCCATTTTTTTGTTTCGCCTCTTCCACATCAGCAAAACATTTTCCTCTGAGGACTTTTCTCATCCAAGGAAACCAAAAAAAAGTTGCTCAGGACTAGATCGGCTGGATAGGGAGTGTAGGGGCATGGGGGGTCATGCCATTTTGGGGTCAAAAACTGCTGAACTGCCACTCTTCCTTTGATGCCACTCAGCGTGGTGTGGGCATGTGCTTTGTCATGCTGGAAGAACCAATCACCTATTTGCCACAACTTGGGATGTTTCTTCCACAAATTGTTTTTTTTTGTTTTTTGGTTTTTTTTTTTTGAGTTGGAGTCTCACTCTGTCGCCCAGACTGGAGTGCAGTGGCCGCTCCCGGCCACCGCAGCCTTGACCTGCTGGGCTCCGGCGATCCTTCCGCCTCAGCCTTCCGAGTAGCCGGAATTACAGGCATGCGCTACCACGCCCGGCTGATTTTTTGATTTATTGTAGAGATGAGGTCTCGCTGCCCAGGCGGGTCTCGAACCCGCGGGCTCAGGCAATCCACTCACCTCAGCCTCCCAAAGGCGCGGGATTACAGGCTGAGCCACCGAGCCCGGCTTTCTTCCACAAATTGTGATGCGAACTTCTCGAAACTTCCAGATAAACTTTGGATCAAACTTTGGCCGTTTGATCCAAAGGAACAAATTCCGAGAGAACTACAAGGGGCCTGCCCTCCAAAAGATAATTCTGGGGTTTTTTTTGGGGGGGGGGGTCTTTTCTCATATGACTAGATACATGGTAATACTTCAGCTAATTGTATTCATTCATTTACTTATCCAACCAATATTGATTGCCTCCTATGCACTAGACACAGATATGTTAGGGACATAGCAGTGAACAAAGCAGAAAACCTTGCCCTCTAGAATTATTATGAGTAATGATAGCGAGGAAAGTTCTGGGCCTTCCTGATTTTCCATTCCTCACCTAGGGAGAGGGCCCTGTCCCCGCTGGGATCCGTTCTTACAACGCTATCTGCCCTCTGCTGACACCTGCTGGCAGTCTAGACCATAGCAATCCTTCCCCTTCTGCCTCCCTCCTGTTCATAACTAATTAGCAGTGTGACGCCTTTTGGTTGTCATGAAGAGTAGCTGTGGGTTCCAACTTGAGGGGGAGTAGAGCTGTAGGGGACAGAGGTGGGGTGGAGGGTCAGTGGTGAGGGCCTCCAGCTCACCCTGGCTCTCCCAATGTCCCACAGGGAGCCGATGCTGGAGGTTCCGAGGCCCCAAGCCTGTGTGGGGTCTCCCACAGCTGTGCCGGGCAGGGGGGCTGCCCCGCAGTCCAGATGCGGCCCTCTTCTTCCCTCCTCTGCGCCGCCTCATCCTCTTCAAGGGCACCCGCTACTATGTGCTGGCCCAAGGGGGACTGCAAGTGGAGCCCTACTACCCCCGCAGTCTGCAGGACTGGGGAGATGTCCCTGAGGAGGTCAGTGGCGCCCTGCCAAGGCCTGATGGCTCCATCATCTTCTTCAGAGACGACAGCTACTGGCGCCTTGACCAGACCAAACTGCGGGTGACTACCTCGGGCCGCTGGGCCACTGAGCTGCCCTGGATGGGCTGCTGGCATGCCAACTCAGGGGGCTCCCTGTTCTGAAGGGACCTCTCCACCCCTGCAGGTGAACTGTTGGTGCCTGCAGAACCAACTCGTTTTCCCTGCCCGAGGGGCAGAATTTGTCTTGGAAGCCTCTGCGCCTCCCTGCAGAAGACTGGACAACAAAGCCAACACCAGGAAGTTCCCTTTGTTCCCTGAAGACTGTGACATTATCTTTGTTCCCACCACATGGAGGTGAGGTGGGCTCAAAAAAGGGGTCCAAGATCCCTCAGCCCTTTCCTCTGAAGATCTCTTCCCTCCCCAAGCCCTGGGGATTTTATTTCTTCTGCTAAAGTTATAGTTCTGTTCAATAAGGAACAGCACTGGGATCCCACCAGGGGGTTGCAAAACTCAACAGAGAGGTTGGAGACTATTTTGCAAGACTCGCCCCTTCTTCTGAGGGCCTCCTGGCTCCGTTCTTGGACAATTGTGTCATATTTAGTCAGAGGCCTCACTCCCAGGAAGCTTGGATGGGGGGAAGGCACAGGGTGTCCAGCTCCAGAGGCCCCTTTGTGCGGTCAGGACACAGAGTAGGCCTGCCGGGTCCTGGCATTTTGTTTGGGGTTGGAATAAAGAGATGCCTCCAGCTGGTGGGCCTAGAGGCAGGAAGTAGCCTTCTTTGAAGTGGTTCTTCCATCCTTTCCTGTGAGCACAGGTGGGCAGGGATACGAGGTAGGCAAGGACCATGCTCTTCCCTGCAAGCCAAGGCTAGCCGGCTGTGAGTGTGGTGCTACGATGGAGAGAGGGAACCTGCCTCTCTTCAAAAAGCAAAATGTGCTTGTCCTCCAGCCCGGACAGGGTACCGTGTGCAGCAGGATGAGGTCAGGGGGCCTCCCTGGAGGTCTGCAGTGCTGCAGGGGCTGGGGTGCAGCCTCCACAACAGCCGCTCTGCAGGTTGGGGGAGGCCTTGTGCTCACAATGGCCCCATTCTCCAGGCCACACACAGGGCAGCATTCCCAAAGCTCCTGCTGTCTAGCCAAGAATAGCTGGGATTCCTGGGAAGGAACCAGCCCCCCAGCCTCCCTGTGTTCTGCCCGAGTGTCTCAGCATTTGCTTTAGCATCTGGTTCTCCGTTGCTCCTCCAGTCCTCCACACCTGCTGGTTCCTCATCTGCACACACGTTGACCTCCGCAAGCCCGGGCTTCCAGGGAAGGGGAGGACGGTCTGGCCTCAGCCCTCAGTTCCCCAGAGGCATTCCTGGCCATACGCCTTCATTTTCTTCTCTGCTCAATGGGGAGAATGACCTTTGACTGCCCTTGGATGCAAATGCTTGTACAGTTCTGGGGAGGCGAGGAAGGAAGCTCCCTGCCTACCATTTTCCCTTTGGTTTGAGCCCCCGGAGGGTTGCGACTTCATCATCTCCATCCGGAGCCGTGTCTCCCCAGCCTCAACGCATTGACACTTTGACCAGAGGCTTTATTGAATGACTTGAGGGGAAAGGACAGGTTTCTCAGAGGGGTGAGGGAACCCGGAGGGTATTTTCTCTAGCCGATGCCTCTGCTCGGCGGGTCAGAAGAAGGTCGCGGGGAGTTTGGGGGTCAGGCAAGGATGGGGCGGCACAAAGGCTGGGAACAGGGGCGCTCAGGAGCCCCAGGCGGCCCCCGCCGTACCTAGACCTGAGTGCTCCAGAACGCAGTGCGCCACGTAGGCCGGGTGGCTGTGCAGGCTCCTGCATTTCTTGCAAAAAAGGATCTCGCAGCGCGCACAGCCCCCCCGGCGCGGTAGTCGCCGCCGCGTCTCCAGCACGCACGGTTCCTCCGGGAGGCTCCGCTTCCTGCGGGCGGGGACCGCGCGTTCAGTGCCTGGTGCCGTCCCTGCTCCCGGGGTTCGCGCAGCCAGTCCCTCGTGCCCCGGCCCAGGGGCGCCCCTCACCTGTCGGTGGGAGCCGCCAGGACGCCCAGAAGCGCGAAGGGGCTGAGCCAGCCCCAGAAGCCGCTGTCCGCGCGCCGCAGCAGCGCCACCTGCTGGGTGCTGGGCTCCTGGCGCAGCGGGGAGTAGGACACCAGGCGCCGCTCGCGGACCGCGTCCTCCTCCACCTCCCGGTACTGCTCCACGGCCTCGGCGGAGCTCTCCTCCGGCCTCTCCTCTCCCTCCTCCTCCGAGCCCTCCTCCGCTTCCTCCTGCTCCGCCTCCCCGACCCCGGGCTCTTCCAGGTCCTTCTTCCACAAGGGGGTCTTCACGCCTGCGGGCGGTGAGGAGGTCAGTGCAATCCTGCTGTCCAGTGAGGGACCCAAGTACCCTGACTGTCGCCCACCCCGACCCCTCAAAAAGGCAGGTGCACGCGGGACCCTGTGTGCGAGATGCACCCGGCCCCCAGGACACCGCGAGAGGGCTACGGAGAGACAGGGAGCCCTGCCGGGCTCCTGCACTTCCCAGTGGAGGATTTGGGGCAAGTCATCTCACTTCTGTCAAGCTCTGTTTTCTCGTTGTAAACTGGGAAAAAGTAGTGCCTATCTCAAGGGTCGTTGTGGGACTGACAGGAAATCGTGTCTGTATAAAGCGCCTGGCCCAGGGCTTGGCGTGCGGGAAGCCATATGCAAAAGGTGGCGACGGCGATTGCCAATCCTGAGGAAATGAGGGGTCGTCGCCACCTCCCTTCCAATCTGCTCTGGGGTGGGTGCCTGATCTCGGTGTAGGCTGTCAGTAAAAGTTCATTGCACCGATTGTCATTTTAATAGGTGGTCGCTTATAGGGTATCATATTTTTTGAATGGAATTTCCTTCCTCAAAGTGGGTCTTGCCTTAAGGAAGCCCATCATGCCTAGTGGCAGGTTAGGCAGGCAGGTGGGTGTATAACTCCTCCGTATGATTTATTTTTCCTTCCTTCCTTCCTTCTTCCTTCCCTTCCTTCCTTCCTTCCTTCCCTCCCTCTTTGTTTCTTTTGAGTCAGAGTCTCACTCTGTCACCCAGGCTGGAGTGCAGTGGCACGCTGACTGCCACCACAGCCTGGAACTGCTGGTCTCAGGAGATCCTTCTGCCTCAGCCTTCCAAATAGCTGTAACCACAGATGCGAGCCACCACGCCCGGCTAATTTTTGAATTATTGTAGAGACAGGTCTTGCCATGTTGCCCAGGCTGGTCTCAAACCCCTGGGCTCAGGCAATCCTCTTTGCCTCCGCCTCCCAAAGTGCTGGGATTACAGGTGTGAGCCACTGCTCCTGCCTCTTTTTTTTTTTTTTTTTTAAGTATTTAAATTAAGGCATGTACATGTTTTTTTTTTTGTTTTTTTTTTGAGTTGGAGTCTCACTCTGTTGCCCAGACTGGAGTGCAGTGGACGCTCCCAGCCACTGCAGCCTCAACCTGCTGGACTCTGCTGGGTGATCCTTCCGCCTCAGCCTTCCAAGTAGCTGGAACTACAGGTGTGCGCTACCACACCCACCTAGTTTTTGATTTATTGTAGAGATGAGGGCTCTCCAAGTTGCCCAGGCGGGTCTCGAACCCGCGGGCTCAGGCAATCCACTCACCTCAGCCTCCCAAAGCGCAGGATTACGGGCTGAACCACCGAGCCTGGCTGCACGTGCATTTTTAAAAGATATAATGCTACTGCACACTTAATAGACTACAGTACAGTTAAACAGAACTTTTTTTTTTTTAATTGAGTCAGGGTCTCACTCTTTTGCCTAGGCTGGAGTACAGTGCCACAATCAAGCCTCACTGCAGTCTCAAACCCTTGGGCTCAGGCAGTCCTTCCACCTCAGTCTACCAAGTACCTGGGATTTACAGGCACGCGCCACCACACCTGGCTAATTTTTTGATTTTTGATAGAGGAAAAGTCTCGCTATATTGCCCAGGCTGGTATCAAACTCCTGGACTCTAGCAATCCTCCTGCCTTGGCCTCCCAAAGTGCAGAGATTACAGGCGTGAGCCACTGTACCCAGCCTTCCATATGATTTCTATTTGAAAAAAGAAAGCCCCTCTATAGGAAGGCCAATTGGGAAAAGCTGCCCTGGGGATGACCCCTAGGAAAATGTGCCTCAGCCGGGTTCGGTGGTTCAGCCTGTAATCCCGCGCCTTTGGGAGGCTGAGGTGAGGGGATTGCCTGAGCCTGCGGGTTCGAG